ATATTTGCAAAAGGCTTAAATCTTAAATCCAATGTCTCGGGTATGCCAGCGCTTCCTTCTCATCCAATCTAAGGAGCCGGGCCGACATTTAACTTAGATAGGTACCTACCTAGTTAGGCGTTTAGTTATTATCTTCGGCTATAGGTACCTAGTGTATGATCTATAGCCTCGAGGGCCTTTTAGTTGAACCGCGTCATCCATCTTGCGTATAGACGGAAAAGCTCAAGTCAATCTTAGTCAGATCAACATGATGAGAGGTCTTCGTCGATAAATGTAATTCTCGCACATCTTTGGTAAATCATAGGGGTCGTATACATGGTATGTGTTACACCCCGTCTCCTCATATCCGAAATATAGTACTATAGTTATCATCGTCTACCGAAGTTGAGGAGATAACGGTAATGGCCATTTTTTACCTTTGGTGGACGTCTTGCTATCGCCGAGCTTTGCCAAGGATGCGCAACACGCGTCGCACACAAACATACGGAGAGGACACACGCAATTTGGCTTGCCGCTTGTCATCAAGCCGGTGTGATGATATTTATCATAATTCACTTTCTGGTGTGCTGCGAGGGCTTTATTGTTATTATTTTGGGGGGGAAGTATGTACATAGAGTTTTAGTAAACAGACACAGTATCCGGGTCACCACTAGGAAGAGAGCATGAGGTAGGTATGCCTGTCTCGCAGAATATCCGCGCCGCATATAAAAGTTTGGGTGAGATGTTACCAACCTTACCCAGAGCTTTTTACAGTTGACGAATTGGATCTTTGGAAGCTCGTGCGACTTGAGACAGCTTCGTACGTGTGATGTATACATGGGTATACATGGGGGGGGGGGGCGGAGGCCTTTACTAAGACATTTTTCTCCGCTTTATACAGTATAATGCATGTTTAATGCAGTGTACAGATTAAGTATCGTCTACACATAGTTAGATGTAGATTCGAACTAGGTAAAGTCCTTATGTACCTAATGTCTAATGTACATAGGCAAATACCCACGTGGTTGACGGCGTTCCACATCGTCTAAGTCATATACAGCATCTCCTCGCTCTTCGAACCCTCTAGCCGCAAGGTCCGTAAGGTTGAACCCTCTACGATAAAAAATACGGCAAAGATGGCCTTCAATCGCGATATAAAGTTGCGTTTCAATGTCTAAAATAGAGACGGGGAACATAATCTGGGGGCGGACGGCACTTCAAACATAAACTGGCCTATGTGATAGCCTACAGGACATGCCGTCAACGTTAGACCAGTCAGAATTTTTCATGTAGGTATGAAGATTCGGTACCAATTATAAGTAGGTCAAGGTTCTTGTGTATCTGCAAGGCGGATAACGGTGATCGTGGTTACCACCTTACCACCCCTCCTAAATTTTCTCTCATGATGACCCCTTCAAGCTCGCAGATTCGCAGGAAACTGGCAGGCTTCCCCATCCCTTGCCCCCCAAACTTCGTGCGAGTGTGGACGCGGCATGCGGCATGCCACGTTCCTCATACACTTAAAAGGAATTTTCCTTTAGCTAGCGTCTCCGCCATCCTCGATTCCCTGCCTAGTGCCAAGGTTGCCAGGCCAGGTATCGTCCGCTAGTAGTAAGGCTAGAAAGAAGCAGGGTTCTTCGGTGGTTCTCATCATTTCGGGAGTGAGATCCAAGTCTTAGCTCGGCCGTTCCCCGTCCTTTTTTGACCGAGCTATTATTCGATTAGCACCCAGATCTGATATTAAAAGACAAGATTCATGCTGGCCCGTGGTCCGAGTCCCTTACCAAGTCCTTTTGAGTCCCTCAATCCCGCTGAATTCATACGTATCTAACATACATAGTAAGAAGCAGCTGGGCTGGGCTGGGCTGGGCTGAATTACTGCTGTGCCTCCTTACTCCTTACTCTTATACTGGACCTATGTAGGTAAGTAGGTACCCGAGCGATTCCCCTCGGTCGATTACATACCTAAGAGCGTATGTAGTGCACCAGCATCTACTGCTTACAGAATCTGCCTCGTGCTACACGTGTACTTGCTACTACGTACGGCACCCACGCACGTACAAAGCCATATGCACTCCACGCGCTGCGCCTATAGGGAGGCTATTAATTCCTTTCTGCTTACTATACTTGTAGTATGTATAAGCCTGCCAAGAATATTCTACAGGATATTATCAATTACTCAAGAGTCAGCAGCATTCACGAACGTGATATGCCATAACTACCGAGACTTTAAACCGACTATCTGCAATGCACGTATGTTGAGTAAGTATGCAACGCACATAAATGAGGAGGATTCTGTTCGTATTACTTAGTATCAACTACTTACATAATATATCTTCAAGCAAATTCACCCTTTTAAGATGGTGACATCCAGCGGCTCCATATCAGCCAGGGCTAGTAGATGAAGGATAAATACCACATCTAACCAACAACATTTCGTTATTGATGTGACGGGTTTCTGTAGCGTTAGAACGAGACGGCTGTGCTAAACCCAACTACCTAACATCCATACTATTTCAGTAATATCTTATTTTAGCTTCGGCACATCTAGCCGTTCGCGCAAAAGCTACGAACTGTTCGCCGAACCAACAAACTATGGAATACGGGAAAAGAAAATATTCGTTATCTGTTAAATTCCCCCGCCTCTTTAATTGCGGATTTTACTTTTGACAGAGGTTGTACTTTGATCAGCAAACGGGGTAGATCTAGATGGACAGATGTAACCTCTACCCAATTCCCTCTTTACTATGTACGTGATTCATTCTTCGCACGAGACTAGTATATAATAGCTGGTCATTATGCATGCGCCGACCTTGTGGGGTTTGGAGAGATCTAGCCTTACAGATGAAGATACACACAGTGCTCGGAAACATCTCCACGGAATTACCTAAACCGTGCTACAGGAAATAATATACTAGGTTAGGAGGATACCTAGTATAAGATAGTCGGGCGTCCATGAAGTCAGCCACATCTTTGATTATTACTCAATAGCCTCGCTATCCCTCGCTATCACATGGGGTTCACCGCATACCCTACCTCCCATACCAACGGTATCATATAGGTTAATACACTAGGTTAACGGAATCCTAAACTCGATTCGTCCTCTACGAACAGGATTCAAAAATAGCCACGCTTCTCTGCCCATTTGCAGTTAGACGCCGCCCGCGGAAGGTCCCCCTGAAGGAGCCTCCACCCTCGCCTAATCCGAGCCGATTCCTTTCGGTGTCACCATTGCATTACGGCGCATCGTAACTAACAAGCTACCTTTTCTTACCTCAATCTAGGTAGCTCTCGGTTTCTGGTCTTTGTGTTTCATGCGAATATCAAACATCAAGGGATCCAAATAGTAGGTGTTCAGCTCTTCGGCGATATCCTTCAAATAGCATGATCTCGGTCTGTGAGATATCGCCGAAGGAATGCCCACAGATCGGCGCGCCACTCCCGTCGGGGGCTAGGTATCCCGTCTGTGACGCCAGCCTGGAGGTTCGACGTACGTGCGTATGGGAAGAAAGTCGGCCTCTGAGTGGTCAGTCTATGCGCCCAGGACCATGGTTAGTAATACCACGCCTGCGGGTGAGCTTGATCCTTCGAATAAACTACCTATACACGTACATGGGGGCTTATGGGCATTCTGCGAGCTTAATGGTTTAAATCTCAACTCGGCCGAACCCGTCCTGGCGTCAGCTTCGTCCCTGTTCACCTACCCAGTACATGAGCTCACCGGAAGCCAAATAGGTTTAGCCATGACTACCTAATAGTAAGGCTCCCCAAAAGTCCGTTTGCACGTGTTGCTGGGGTCTATCCAACTTTCTCTGAGGTCTTGGAGGCTCAAACCCATTGTCATTGAAACATGGCTGGAGAGGCCTCTAAAGTTTCTCCTAGGAAATAATCATTCGGCTACACGGCATATTCATTCTAAGATTGATTATATAGTACCTAAGTTCTACCCGCCAATAGTCAGCGCCAGGGGCTACCGATTAGTGTGAATCGCAGGCTTTCATTACACGGCTAGGCCAATAGTCTCGATGTCAGCGCGCAGTAGCACCGACCCGTGTCGCTAAACTTATGACCCTAGAAGGGCAAGGACCTTCAGGACACGTTAAGATACTTTTGTTGTTTATACTACCTACCTATGTGGATGAGAATTCTAGGTTAGATTGGGCACGTATGAGTTTATTGAGCAATAACTATCGTTGTCGACCCCAATCCTGGTGTCTCAGTCCTCCCGTAGTACTGAGAGGCGGTGTGTGACACGAGCCCGCCTCATGGGGAAGATGCTGGCGAGACCATCCATCGCATGCGCTCTCCCCAATCCGTTTCTCTAATAGGACATATCTTTCCAACGATCGGGGTAACATATGTAAGACGTCGACTTGGAGACACGGCATATTCTGTACGCAGTATACCACGTTTCTAGATTCCGAGAGAGGTAGCGCGATCTGATGCGATAACCCGAGGTATCACACGTTGAGACCCGTCTGTCTCGGGCGCGGATGTCACGCTCTGGAAATAAAAGCTTGTCGGTTTGCTTAAGCACTGCCGCTTCCCGTCTACAGCAGCCTCCCGTTACCGCTTGACGGCCGAATCTGGATCTTGAATAGGCAGGATTTCGCGACCGAGAGGTAGACATAGACATCTCCGAGCTTGCTCGGCGCTGAATGCTTGGGGCCAAGTCTAGCACGAGAAAGGTTTTCTTTTTTTACTTGGTATAGGTATCATACTTGCCAGTCAGTGAAATATCACCTTCTGTCATCCCTCGCGTAGCATGGCTTATGTCTCGTATTAGCGCGCTTCTTTAGAGAGCCAATCTCCTAGAAGAGTTCCTCTCTAGTTACTGAAACACATGTGCCTTACTGGCATCACGATACCTTTCGTGATACCAGTGCCGTGGCTCTCGGGACGAATCTAGTGTAACGGTTTCAGGGGTCGATGGCGCTTTTGCAACACGTCCGAGAAACCGACAAAGTGTTACTTACTGTGTGATTGGGGACATATGCACATCTGCAGCTAGCCTCGTGTCCGCCACAGCGGTCAGGTCACTCAGAACTACGGCTTGGACACTCATAGGTACCTCTTAAAGTCATCTTCGTATTAGTACACGTGAGAAATAATACCAATCTATGATATTATCTAGAAGATGAAAACACCTACGCCCTTACTGATACATGATTAGTGATCCCGATAGTAAAACGACACTGTCCACAATGATATAGGCTTCGTATTTCTTGGCAATAATTCAATTATGAGTTTGCCTAACAAGATTAGGCCGAGAGTGGCGTTTAAATGGATTTGAGATTTAGGGGACGTGCCTACATCAGACATGATAGTGAAGTCCTATGTAAAGCATTTATAATTCAACCTTGCTCCGTTGTTGGACCCGGGGACAATAAAATGGTGGATCCCCGATGATGTGAAATTGCGGAGTTGAAAGGACTCGGCGGCGGACTTGCGGACTTCACTCTTCATCATCCACAGACCGATTTTAGCTTTAGTTTCTATCTAATTACGTTCATACCTTAGGTACCTACTAATCTTACCTGCTGTGAATACCCTTCAGGTACTTGTGACTGAGAAAGTCGTCTTTACGACATATTGCAAATATTTCCCCAGCTAGCGCGTCTTCCTCTCAGAGCGGAATTCATGTCTCCGCGCGGAGGCTCATCTAGGCAGAAGAGCTGCAACGCCTGTGTGAGGAGCAAGCGACGCTGTGACCAGCGGGTCCCAGCTTGTGCTAATTGCACCAAGAAGAAGCGTCTCTGTATCTACGGGCAACAGTCGGACACGCAGTCGTACGGTAACTCTGCGGGTGTTCCGACAAGTCTAGACTCTTTCGACGGTCCTCCGTCTACGTCCTACGGTGACAGTTTTGTACTAGATGACGGCAACGTCCCTACTACTACTATGGGTATTGGCGTAGATATTTCCCCTGATGAAACTATTCACCTCGATAGTACGTTTGAGTCTTTATTGGGCTCGATGAATGGGCCCGGATTTGGCGATCTACCCGGGCTGCCCGATTTCTTGAGGCAAGATACACAGATAGCATCAATTCCAAAGAGTAAAATACCATCTCCTCAAGACTATTCTAGGATGGCAGCTGTATGCGTAAGTTTTAGTAAGAAGCATTTTTCACTCTCTTAAAACTTACATTAGTAGGACGATTATGCTCCGTGGCAACTTGAGGACCCTTCAACTAGAATCGCTTACGCGATAAAAACATTCAAATGCTTTCATAAAACGATTGCCCAAGATAACTCCACTATATATATGCATCGTCACTTATATCTAACTGATACGCCACCCTGTATCCTGCAGGCGTTCTCAGTGTGCGTTCTCTACGCGAACCAGACGGAGGCAAACCGTGGCTTTGTCCTTAGAGCTCTTTACGAGAATGTCCATAATCTTAAAATAACGGTTAGTGGTACATCATTAACGCCGCGGGAAAAGCTTGCGAGAGTCCACGCTCTACTTGTTTATCAAACCATTCGTATGCTTGATGGAAACGCCACTCTAGGGCAACAAGCCGATGAAGATGTACCGTTATTAGAAGCCTGGAACGGGGAACTGCGCAAGATAAGAGATAACCTCGAGGACTTCGCTGAGCTCGATGTTGCTGAGATTCGTAATAAGCCACCCGAGTCTTGGGAAGTAGGTGTGAACAAGTTACCCCTTAGAAAGCCTCGTGATCACTGACATATTGTCCAGCGCTGGTTATTCGCAGAAAGTGTTAGGAGAACTTATGTGATATGTGCTGCTCTTGCTCACTTTTGGAGTTTATTGAAAGGACAGAGGATACCTAGTAAGGACATCAGCATGCTAAATCTACCTAACTACTGGGTTCTGATATATAAATGTAGCTGATCTTGGGGATTGGCAATATGTCCACCGGTGGACCCTATCGAGACATCTATGGGCTGCCACGAACCCCTTGGAATTTCAAAGGGCATGGAAAGAGAAGCCTATGTGGATCATATCAGCCTTTTACTTCGACGAGTTTTTGCGGACTGGGAAAGGAGATGATGTCGATGACTTTGCGCTTGCTTTCCTCACATTGTGAGCATATCGAGCTATTCCACCTCTATTATTAGCGACTAACTTCTATATCCCTAGATCTTTCGGTGTCAACGAGATGAAAATGGTTTGCTATGAGACAAGCGGGCGGCTCTTAGAATAATTGAAGGTATGGGTTTGCCAACTCCGCAGTCCGCCAATTCCGCCCCCCGTCCGTATACGCGGAGCGGATTATGCACGACACATGCGGAAGACGGAGGTATAGTAAAGGGTTCCTATGAACTATCCTATATCTAAGGTTGGCATCGTCTTCCTATAAGTACCTAGGTATGAACTGTATCCAGCTGTAAATATCACATCTACTCTTTCATATCATCGAACTATCTTGCCCACGAGCTTATCAACAGCTCAACTCAAGATACAATCAAGTATTAATTTCCAAATAAATGAACATGTCACCTATCCCCTCTCGTCAACTCGGAAAAGACGGTCCTCTAGTTCCCCGCATAGGCTTCGGCGCCATGGGCCTCTCTATGAGCTATGGCAAGCCCATGCCCGACGAGCAGAGGCTTGAACTACTCGACCACGCCCACTCCATCGGGGAAACATTCTGGGATACTAGCGACTTCTACGTAAGTTCTTGTCCTTATATTAACCAACATCGGGTGAAGATGCCCGCGCATGCTTGTCTACAGGGCTAACGTAGAACTATACCAGGGAGATTCAGAAGATCTGATAGGGAAATGGTTCGCCAAGACTGGCAAGCGCTCTGATATCTTCCTCGCTACCAAATTCGGCGGTATACTACTAGGAGAAGCGGGCTTCGCTTTCCGCGGCGACGCGGCGTATGCCCACGAGGCGTGCGACAAGAGCTTGAAGCGTCTAGGCGTTGACTATATTGACTTATGGTACCCGCACCGACTGGATGGTAGTACGCCGGTTGAGCATATCGTAGCTGAGATGGTCAAGGTGAAGGAGTATGTGTAATTGACCATACCTATTATCATATCCTCACTCCATTCCACTCTTACTTTCTTGTAGGAAACCCGAATGAAGTAGAAATTCTAGTAAAGCTAACTTAATCGAAAAGGCAAGGCAAAATCCGCTATCTTGGTCTATCTGAGGTATCCGCAGCGACATTACGGCGTGCTCATGCAATACACCCGATCAGTGCTGTGCAAGTACGAGCCATACCCCTATTTCCCCGTATAACAACACCCAAGCCAAGAAAACCGTCTAACTCAAGTACCTACCCAGGTCGAATACAGTCCATTCACAACCGACATCGAAGACCCCCAAACCAACCTCCTCGCCACATGTCGGGAGCTCGGCGTCGCCGTCGTAGCCTACTCGCCCCTCTCGCGCGGCCTCCTCAGCGGCCGAATCACGAGCCCAGCCGACTTCGAAGCCGACGACGTCAGACGCTACTACCCGCGCTTCTCGGCGGAGAATTTCCCCAAGAACATGGCTGTGGTCGAGAAGCTGAAGACGATGGCGGCTGAAAGGGGGTGGACCGCCGCCCAACTGGCGCTCGCGTGGCTGCTTAGCCAGGGAGACGACGTCTTCCCGATTCCGGGGTAAGTGAGACGTGCTCGTCTGGAATATCCTGTTACCCAAGGTTTATTATAATGAGAGCTTTGTTTAATGGAACTCTGTGGCTTTCTAGGACTACGAAAGTTGCGTCGTTGGAGGAGAACTGCGCGGCTGCATCGATCTCGCTCTGGACAGACGAGGTTGCGCGGATCCGGACCCTCGTCGAAAATGCCTCGTGTCCCGGCGCCCGCTATCCGCCGGAGCATAGTCTTGCTTTGTTTGCTGATACACCGCTGCCAGAGGACTACGCCTGAGGCCTGGAGGATCGTGGTCAGTTTTCAATTACCGGCACTCTGTATAAATCAAGCACGATCACGGATCGTGACTGAAGTGGAGGTATAAACAAGTTACACTGGACTCTTTATATTGTTTGACTGTATTAAATACCTAGGTACGTTTGCTCGCCACTCTTACTTAGGTATAATACTTTTATTCACACACTATATCCAATATATCTAAAGGTTGCTTCTCCCTAAGCTATTTCTTCTAATAGTTGCGCTTTCTCGCCTTAAGACCCATTGCTCATGAATAGGTAATTTACCTTCTCATCGACTATGCTTGGTGTTTAGTTATTAGTCTATACCTGCAGTGAATTAGCTCCCTTGCGTGTTTTGCGTGGCTAGATCATCCACCTCTTAGTATAATGACAAAGTATATATAAACTTTATACTGTACGCAGTATATTATAGGGAGCCGAATAAAGCTAGAAAGCGTTTAACACCAATCTCGACAATACCCATCTAGTGTATAGTATTGTATTCCATAAAACCCTATCGCTATCGCTATGCTAAGTTTATCCAAGAGTAGAACTATTGTCAAGCTTACACGGTATATATCCTTCTCTAATCTACGCCATATATACCAAGATCGGCAGTAGCTCATAGCCTAGACTTGACCTTATCCCACAGGCCGAACGTCTCCAATCCCGCCTCCCCGTCAAAGATATCCCTCTCGACTTTCCTAGAGTTGATCTACACGGAATGCGTCAGCTAGTTTTCCTCTAGGGGGATGGGAAGTACTCACATGTCTCGGACTCAGGTCGCTCACTTTCTCTACTCCGAGCAACCTCATACACGTCTCCGTCTCCGCCTTGAGGACTATTTGCATCACGTTGTTAGTCTAGTTCAAATTGGACAGTAAGTCAAAAAGCTCATAAAAAAGGAAACACTTACTCTCAAACGTCCTCTCAACACCCTTCTGTCCACCGGCCCCGAGCCCGAATAGGGCAGCTCGGCCAATTCCTACAGCCCGGGCACCCAGACATAGCGCCTTAACCACATCGGTCCCGCGCTTAATACCGCCATCAACCCAGACCTCAATCTGATCAAACACCTGCGGACAGTGCTTGCGGATCTCCAGCAGCGTGTGCACAGCAGGCGGCGCGGTATCCAGCGCGCGCCCACCATGATTCGACAATATAACAGCCTTGACCTGCGGCGCATACTTCGCCGCGAGGAACGCGTCCTCGTGTGTCTGTATGCCCTTCAGCACAATCGGCAAATCCGTGTGCTTCGCCAACCACGGCAGCGTAATCTTCCACGTGAGATCCGACGCCGTGCCGAAGAAGAGCTGCTGTCCCACGCCGCCGCCGCCAGGCCGGTTGGGCTCGTCCGAGGTCTTGACCCCGGAGGCGACCTTGACGGCGTTCTTGAAGCTCTGCTTCTCGTCGAGCTCGCGCTTGCCGGGGACCGGCGCATCTAGCGTCAGGCAGATGAACTTGAACTTGTCGGACATGCGGTTGATGCGGGCCAGCATGGCCTCGCTCTTGGCCCGGTCGTTCTGCACGTACAGTTGCCAGCCGAAAATTTGCCCTGGTATTGCGTCTGCGACAATTTGCTCCGGCGTCATGGAGGCGTTGTTCGAGATCACTTGTAGCGCGTTGAACCGGCTACAGGCCCGAGCAATGCCGGCCTCGCCGTCGGGATGGCCTAATCGGGCCATCGCGGCTGGTGCGACGAATATCGGTATGTCGACCTTGTGTCCTAGCAAAGTCGTGGAAGAATCGCATTTGGTGCAGTCGATGAAGACTCGTGGTCGCAGCAGGATGTCCTTGTAAACGGCATTGTTGAAAGACTTGGAAATGGTGTCGTCGCTGGAGGAGTAGTAGTAGGCCCATGCCTTTTCAGGCATACGTTTCGTAGCGACCTCCTCGATCTCATTGAGATTCAGTAGACTTTCCATAGGTGGCGGACCTTCTACATCCTTCTTTTCCTCCTTAGCAGCTGGCTTGCTGGCCTGGACTATCGTCTGAGGGTCAATTCGACCCAATTTGGCCTCGGGTTTGAGATTTTCCTCTAGTATGCCCGGAGGGTGTATGGGATCGTACTCGTCCGTCGCATCTCGGCCGGCGAGCTGTAAGATGATCTTGGAACCGCCGGGGTGCGACGGTAGGAACTCAGTTACATCATAGACATTCCCGTACAACACTACCCAACAACTCTCGGGCGTGGTATGCTTCACGACTGAGAAGCCGAACATACAATGGTCAGCCAACTACGATAGCCGAGGGAACAAAAGAAGGGTATAAGAGCTATTAGGAGTTCTATCTTACCTTCCTCGGCGCTAATGAGCTTTTCCGACATCTTCATAACATAGCAAACGATAATATCCAAAATACTCACCCCAATTCGTTTTTTCTTTGTTTAGTTGAAAATATTGGAATTGAGAAAGTCCACTGCTCCAGCTTTGACAGCTCTCGGTTGTATTTAACCCGCGGCAACCCGGAGCTCAATCGGCATCCCCCAAGTAGGTATAAGTTAGCGACCCCGCGACTCCAAATAGTGGACTTGGTGGACTTAATGGGGATGGCCCCATGGGGCTATTACTATTCCATGGCTTCCATTGGTTAAACGACGAAAGTCTGGAGTCTCTAACCTGCTAAGGGGTAGACTACTAGGGGACCCAAGCGTTCGGAAGCACCGCTAATTCGCTCCGCTGAAAAAGAAACAAAGAGTTCTATTCAGGGGCAGGCCTATTGTACTATTAGTCTATCTAAAGCCAAGACAAATACATTAGGTATCTTCAACAAGAGTCAATTGCTCATCTTTGTGAGATGGAATCTCGATGTTAATTTATTATCGTAGCATCGTTCAACTATAGCTTTACACCATACATATTGCGTCTGGTGCCTTCGTCCAGACAAGGTTTCCATGATGAGACTCCAACCGTCGTCACACTAAAACACCGCCCTCTTGTAAGCCACTTAACCCACAGCTCTCACGAGGTCGCCTTTATAATCTGAGCCCCATGTTCCGCGACGCCGTAAACCGTAGCCTGCGGGTTCGTGCGAGGCGTAATAGGGATAATGCTCGCATCGCAGACACGTAGATTCCGAGTCCCATACACGCGCAACTGCGCATCAACAACACCCCCCAACTCTCGCGGGGCCATAGCACACGTGCCTGTAAAATGGTGCGCCCCAACCGCCGTCTTGCGTATATACTCCTTAACCTTGTCCAAGTCCGCGAAGCTGCCCAGCGGTGGCGCCGTCGGCGTGCGTCTGCCATCTAGCTTCAGCGCGCTGGCTAGCGGTTCGGTCTGGGCAAACTTCTCCACAAATTGTAGATGACGCGCGAACACCTCGAGATCGAGGGGGTGGCTGAAGTATTGGGGGTCGATGGCTAGGGCTGGCAAGTCGGCGGAGGTTTTGGTGATGTGTACGGAACCGCGCGAGAGCGGGTGTGCTAGGAGCAGTACAAAACTCAGCCAACTCTCGTCTCCAGGAGGCGGGCCGGCCATCGTCCCGTCGCTGTTGGATCCTGCGTAACCGGGGATCGCGAGGTAGCATCCGGACGCCTCGGTAGGTGACGCGAGGATGGATCGAACAAACGATTCGTGGGCCTCTGCAAGCGATGTAGGTTTGTCGGGAACTGTAGAGCTCGCACTTTGCAATACTTTCTCTAGTTCTTGTTTCCCTTGCTCACTCTTTACCCCTGGAAATGGGAGCTGTGCAGCTATATTCGAATTGCTCTTGGCAAAGGGACCCTTCTGTTTTGAGTAAGCTTCCATAGCAGCACCGAGGGCTGCCTGGTCTTGCCTGGCAAGCTTGTCTATGGTCTCAAAGCCGGCTTGTCCTCGAGTCTCGAAGCTCAAAGTGATCAAGGGGTGGTTTTGAAGGTTCTCTCCAACGTTTGGGTTATCAACTACAACGTCGATGCCAAGTGATTGTAGGAGTTTCGCATCGCCGATACCCGAAAGCTCCAATACCTTGGGCGAGTTGATCGCGCCCGCTGAGATGATAACCTCTTTGCGAGCTCCTACGATTTTCGTTTCCCCATCTTTATTAACTTGGACACCGGTAGCTACGGGAATATCTGACTTGTCGAATATGATCTTCTCCGTCAGAGCCTTGGTCCAGATGGTGAGATTGCTCCGAGGTCGTGCGGCCTCGAGGTACGCATTTCCGACGTAGCTCCTCTGTTTTGTAGTAGGATGTAAAGAATCTGTGACGATCAGGCCACCGGAAAGTTGCCCCGAAAACGGATCATCGGTTACTGGGAAGCCGAGCGCAGTAAGCGTTTCCTTCCAAACTCGTGGCCACTCAGTGTCTTCGTCGGGGATAGCAAGTTGGACCGGGCCTTTAGCGTCTGCCCCCTCCGAAGGCAAGCTATACGCCTTTTTGAAGGACTCGGAGAAGCTCGACCAGCCCCATCCCGGGTTTCCTAGAGCTTCCCAAGCATCGACGTTAGCTTTCGAGGTTATACTGAAGGCTAAGCCGTTTAGTGCGCTAGATCCTCCAAGCAAGCGGCCTAGGGGGAACCAGATCTCTCGATTTTCAAGTCCTTTCTACCGACGCATTAGAAAGCATAGCACGGATGATGATAGAGCACATACCTGAGGCACGGTCCTGAAACTATATGCGGAAGGGGTATTGAGTAAAGTAGGCCACATAGCAGGGACGTTGACTCGGGGGTCAGCCGTCTGATCTTCGCCTGCCTCGATAACAAGGACCTGGACGGCGGGATCCTCTGACAGCCGAGATGCTAAGACGAGGCCCGCTAGTCCTCCGCCGACGATAACAAAGTCGAAACTTTCGGACGCCATAATGTCTACACGATATGGCGAAGTTTAAGTCGTGTTACAAAAAAGCATATAGTAAATCCGAGTGAACCGACCACGACTGGAAGAACGAGCAAAATAGTATGGTCAGTGGGCTTACATGCCTGTTCCCTAAGGTACATTTATTTACGTAGTACCGGGGATCATGCAGTATACGTTCACCCTCTCGTACAGTCTGTGATCTGCTCTTCTGTAACCGCTGCTTGGTAATTCTGTGCTTTGCCCGAGTTTACGAGGGATATGCCCGAGTTTACGAGGGATATTGTCAGACGATCTTTTTGCCTGGCCATTTTACGAGATAGGAAGTTCGTCCGTGCGCAGCTTTAGGGCGTTTTTATTGGGTGCATCCCCGACTTTCTCACGTGCTTTTTCAGATAAGTTAGTTTTACAAAAGCTTAGGTTTAAATCCCACATGCTTTTTTTTTTTTTTTTTTTTTTTTTTTTTATCTTTTTAAAAGAATTTTAGCAAAGCTTAATATTCGAGGTTATCCGGCAGCAGCGGTTATCTCAGTAAACTCAGACCACATTTCGTAAGGGCGCGGGTTGCGCCTGCTTGCGCCACCTAATGCATGGCCTATGTGTTTGTATCTATGGGTCACGGGCATGTTATTTTACGAAATGTAGTTTAAGGCTGGCCTGGGCTTAAGCGCTTATTGCGGGGAGATTTTAGTAATAAATAATTAAATATTATATTTATAATGATTTAATATAATATAATAACGTATAAAATAACTTTAATTTAAATGATTTAAAATTAATAATATATTATATTTATTTATTTAAACTTTTTACATATTTATATAACGTTATATTTTTATATCGTAATTTTAAACGTTAAAATTATTTTATAATAATAATATCATTATTATTATTATAATTAATAATATATATAAATAAAATAAAACACGTTATATTTTAACTTTAACATAATAATTTAAAACTTTTTACTTTTTTTTATATTTATACGGTATTATATTATAATATTATAAATTTTAACGTTTAAAAATATATTAAAATATAATTATTTATAATAATATTTATAACCACAGTTATAATTACATATAAAATAATTTATTTTATATTTAAAAATAATAATAATATTATTTAAACTTTTTTATTTTTTTTATATTTATATAATTTTATTATACGTTATACGTTACATATTACGTATTACGGTTACCGTTACAATTGGTATTACGGTTATTATTAACAACCGTTATAACCATTTTTAACATTTTAAAAAACTTAAAATACGTGGATTTAATCGATAAATTTAATAATAAAATTAATATAATTATATAATTAATAATTATTTATTATAAAAATGCGTTAATGTTATTATTTTTAATAATTTTATTAATTAATAAATTAATTATTATAATTAATATTATAATTAATATTATAACCGGTATTATAACCGTTATAATTGTTATAATTTACATTTAATATTTTAAAAAACTTAAAATATATAAATTTAATTAATAAATTTAATAATAAAATTAATATAATTATATATAATTATTATTTATTATAAAAATATATTAACGTTATTATTTTTTTAATAATTTTATTAATTAAATAATGTTAATATTATTTTTTATAAAACAATTTTTTAAAAAAAACATATTTAAAGTAATTTTAAATTAAAATTTCGATTTTTTTTAAAAAAAGTTATACAAGTTATAATTGGTTAAAAAAGTGGTATGGTTAAAAAAATATAATTTTATAAATTAAAAAAAATCGAAATTTTAATTTAAAGTCATTTAAAATAAAGTTATTTTAATAAACTTAAATTAAAATTCGTTAAATTAACGGGTTACGCCCGTTAACATTTAACGCCATAAACGCCACATAAACGCTTGGCCCGTGTCATTGTATTTATAAGTTTAAAGTTTAAAAAAATAATAAAAAATATAAGTTTTAACGAATTTTAATTTAAAACAATTTAAACGTTTTTTAACACGTTAAAATAAGTTTTTTTAAAAATTAAACTTTATATTTATAATAATTTAATATTTAATAATAACGTATAAAATACTTTTTATTTTTATAATTTAAAATTAATATTATGTTTTTTTTATTTTTTTATTTTTTTTACATATTTATACGGCATTACGTTATAATATTATAAACTTTAACGTTTAAAAATACGTAATATATTATATTAATATTTACATTTACGCGTTTACATTTATAACCATGTTTAAAATATTTTTTATTTTTATAATTTAAAGCTTTTAATTTAATTATTTAAGTTTTTTAATTATTTTACATACCTGTATAATATTACGTTATAATGTTATAAGTTTTAATGTAATATATTTTTAAAAACGTTATAACCGGTGTTATAACCGGTGTTACGACCGGTATTACGGTTAATTATTATTTTAAAACGTTTAAAACGTTTAAAACGCGTGTATTTAAACGTTTAAAAAATTAAACAAACGTATATATTTATTAATAATAAAATTAATAAATGTTTTAAATTAATTAAAACTTATTTTAAACGCGTTAATGTTATTATTGTTTTTAATGTTAAATAATTATTATAACAAAAATCGCCCGAGTTACTTTAAATTAAAAATGCGAAATTCGTAAAAGGAGTAAATTAAAAATGTGATTAATTAAAAAAAAATGTGGTTAAAAAAAGTATAACGAAGTTTGCGTCATTGGTTTAAATTCACTGAAATAAAAATAAAACAACGGCACGTAATTCGTAAACTCGGGTTATTGTAATGTTTTGTAAAAGTGTTTTTATGTTATTTTAATAAACTTAAACCATAAATTCGATATTGTTTATAAAGTTATACCTTTTTTAACCACATTACTTTTTAATTAATTAAAACTTAAAATAACTTTTTAAAATAATATCGAATTTATGGTTTAAAATAATTTTAAAATTTTACACATTAAAAACATACGTTTAATTTTTTAAAAAAACAATATTAACAATATTATTAAAAATAATAATATTAATATATTTTTATAATAAATAATAATTAAATATATAATTGTATTAATTTTATTATTAAGTTTATTAATTAAATTTACGCGTTTTAAATTTTTTAAAATATTAAAAATAGTTATAATAACGGTTATAATACGTTAATTATAACATATAATAATAACCGTAATAAATATTAAAACTTAATATATAAAACCGTATAAATATATAAAAAAAGTTAAAAAACTTAAACAATAATATTATTAATTTAAAATTATTAAAAAAAAAAATTTTATACGTAATTATAAAATATTAAATTATTATATTTAAATATTTTACATAAAACTTAATATTAAATAAATAAAATAATTAAAACGTTAAAAATTTTTAAATATTAAAGTTTAATATATAAAAATGTAATATTATATAAATATATAAAAAAAATAAAAAATTAAAAAAAATATATTATAAACTTTAAATCATTAAAATTAAAATTATTTTATACGTTATTATAATATATTAAATTATTATAAATATAATATTTAATTTTTTTATCATTAATAAAAACGTTAAAAACCTTTATAATGCCATATAACCTTAAACCAAAAATTTTTAAATATTTTGTCCATAACCCATAAGTATAAACATATAAACCACGCATTGCTTGGCGCAAGCGGGCGCAGCCCGCCTCGAAAATTTCGGGTTTAAAGTCACTTAAAATAATTTTTATGTATTGTTAAACGATTTTTTTACTTAACCATTTTGCGAAATAAAAAGTTCGTTCGTGCGTAACTTTAAAACGGTTTTATTAAATGCATTTTTTTAAAACAACAGGTTTTACCAAATTCTTTACTTTCGAAAAAAAAGTTAAAATACGTATTTTTTTATATAAAAACGTAAGTTTAAATCCCACCCGTATTTTTTTTAAACCCTCCTTTTCCGTTTAAAAGCTTTTTTATATAAAAAACGATAAAAACTTAATTTAATATTTTATTTTATTTTATTTTATTTTATTTTATTTTATTTTATTTTATTTTATTTTATTTTATTTTATTTTATTTTATTTTATTTTA